CACCGAGAGAGACCGAGGGATTCCATCATACTGGGAGGTTTGCGGCACAAAATGACTGAGTAAATGAGTGAACGCAGAAGAATAGCGCCCGATAAACCTCCAGCTCAGCCACGATAAACAATCCCAGAATCCACTGTGAGCCTGCGTGAGGTGACGCTGTCTGAAACCCATCGGTACTGATGCCGTTGACAGCCAACGAATACAGAACCGCACGGCCCTCGCCCTGAAAAACAGCCCGGCTAATGCAGCAACGTGTGTGGGATGTGGATCAAAGGACCTGGGGGAAAGCGCGAGCAAGCAGAGGAAAGAAAAGAGGAAGGAGAGAATGAAGGAATCAGAGATTTCTCTTTTCGGACTGACAGGATTCGTATTCATCTGAAAGCTTTAGGTGGGAAAAAAAGGAGCTTTTTACAACCAAAAACTAAAATCACAACAGTCGCTATTGAGTGCGTGACGAATTTATTGCACAGGTGCTCAGCCTGTTGGTTCGTTAAAGTACAAATTTAAGAAACATCTTCAGAGATAAATTGCTTTCCTTTATCCAGAAAATTGTGAAAAGTCAAATAACACGAATCAAAATGAGCACAAACAAAGCGGAACGCTCTTCAAACCGGCTCCAAGACATCAAATACCAAACAAGTGTCTCATTTACACCATCATTATCCTCTGTCATTAAAACCCTGATTAAGACCCTCCGAACTTCATTCAAGTCTCTTTTACTGTCGGCCATTCCTGTAAGCCAAACAATTCCATCATCGGGCACTTCCCTCTCTCTCTTCAAGAAGTTCAAACGCTTCATCTGGGACTTGCCCTCCCTCTAAGCGACACAGATTGCATACAGAAGACATGACGTCGGTTTGGTAATGAGCCCCTTAGCATGAAAATGCAGCCCGCTGCGGTCGGCCCAGATTAGCATGAGAGATGATGGAGATTAGTGATGGAAATCCTAAACTCAAACAAACTGATTGTTGAGCTCTTCACATCAGACAAGGCTCGAAACGTGACCTCGGCGATCTCTGACCCCCATCAACCGGTGTTAAAACCGCAGAGGAGAAACGTGAGGAGAAAGCGAGTACGAGAGAGCTCTATAGACACTAGTCCCCTGACAGACATCAAAGTGGGACGTGTTGGTCCAGTGCGAGCGGGATAGTGTCTATGAACGTCCAGTGCCTGACAACTTCAGCTTGTCTGCAGCTCTTGAGAAACTCTTCTCGCTCACACACACACACTGGAGAGGGGAGCCATTAACAAACACGCAAACTGTTGAAGAGGCTGATTTACATACCCTTCAAAGCGTGCCGCTACCGTGCCGCCTTCAAAGAGGACAGAGCGTACCCCGAGCTTTTATGCAGAGTGAATAAACGTTTGTAGTTTTATGTATGAGAAAGTTTGTTGTTGGTGGTTTTTACAGAAAAGTTCTGCCAGCCAAGTTGTGTGCTGGGATTCGATGCCGGGAAAGGGCAAATGTTATCGGTTTTGTGGTAACTGTGCTCATCACAGTAAAAGCTAGAGTGTATGTAAGGTAAGATGATCCTCAGTGTGGTTTCTTCTGTGGAGGTGAGGTGTGGACACCTGTCATGTTTAATAAGCATCACTCTTAAAGTAATTCTTGCAAATACTGGCAGAGAACGGCTGATATGTGGCCTGCACGAACTGGCACACCATCTCTTTCACAATGCATCTACTGAAAATGCATTTCTCTGTCTGCCATCTCAAGGGAAATTACTTTGAGTACTTTAGCAGATCCCCCAGAAAATCTGACTCAAAAATGAAAACCATATTATTATTTACTAAATCTTTCCTTTCTGTAAAATTTTTTGGTCCTTTTTTAAACTTTTAATAATATGATAGCTAATAACAACAACAACAATTATAGTTCACAATACTAATAGTAGTAGCAGGGCTCGAAATTAACTTTTACTTGGTAGCACTGGTGCTCCCAACTTTAAAAAGTTAGGAGCACCAGCAAAGATTTAGGAGCACCCACCAAAAATTAATGAGCACCACAAATACAAATTATATATTAATATATTTCATCTTTACATTCTTAACTTTAATGCAAATTTTAGATTGGTTAATATTAGCTGTCAATCACCCAGTCGCTGCTTTCCGCTGTCAGGGAGCTAACTACCGCGGGAAATGCAAAGGGCTGAAGAAGAGAGAAAATTAAAAGAAACACTGACAGATTTCTTTCGTAAACCACCTAAGTTAATCTGAGTTTGGTTAAACACAGAGAGAGAGCTCCTCTTTGGTGAGGGTTAGGGTGGTGTATGCAGTGTTCAATTTTACATTCAGTGCCAATTGCGTGGAACGGCACTAAGGACTACCATGGACAGCTGACTTTGACATTCTTCATATTCTGTGTGGTGGTCAGTTCACAGCAGTGATATTATTTAAATTAATCTTTTCCAATAAGTTTAAACTGATTTTTACCTTTTTTTTTATTTACAATTTTACAACCATTTTTACAATTAAGTCATTTTTTTTTCTAAAAGTGTGCATCATCATTTGAGTCAAATTCTTACATTTAATCAGTCAATTAGAATAAGACATTTGGGCTGTTATCAAGCAAATTAAATCAGTATCAACAAAATTCATCTTTGCAATGCAGAGGAAACACAGAAGCTACATCTGAAGTGGCATTTAGATGCATTTACACACTGCTTAATGCAGCACATGAATGCATTTAACCTGCAGTTACATGCATATAAAACATTGAATACTGATATTTGAAATTATTTTTAAAAAATGATAATATACTTTAAATGTGAAATTAAAACTGCCAGTAGGTGGCAGCACGTCACTGTTAATAAGCGAGTCATTGTGCTTGAACCGAATCAGTTAAACGGTTGATTCATTCAGGAACGAAACAGCATCATGTTGCTCAGAGACGCAAAACAGTGCTGTGGCTTTGTTTGGAATAAATTTTGTTGTCGAAATAGAGCAAAAAACAGGCAATATGGTGTCTAAAACGTAAGGCTCTTAATATTAACTTCTTGATTATTGAACTGTTATATAAAATCAATATCACATTTGTAATCATGCTGATTTTTGGAGGACAAAACGGCACTCTTCGTGTGATAATAACTATATGAAATGATATAAAGCCCCCATATCTTGAATTTTGTGATGCATTTTAATCGACTGAATCATGCAGTGGGAAAAAAAAAGAAAAAAACAAAAAACAAATTATTCGCACTCTAAATGCGCATGCGCACTAGTCTAACCTACTAGACTTCATCACGTCATGTATGCGTGCACTCTCTGCAGGTGTTTTGTTTGGTTTTTGCCATATACTCGATAATGTCAAATCGCAAAAACCAGTGATAAAGTTACCCATGTAATGCTCAAACATTAATCAGCGTTTTTTCTAGAACCCATCTAGACCCCGATAGTTAATATCGCACTTTGTTAAAACACATTGTTTCACACTGTTGTTGTTTCCGTTTAATAATAATAACAACAACAACAACAACAATGATAGACAACTATTATTATTATTATTATTAACAGTAACAACAACTACTAGTACTGTCGTTGTTGTTAGCTATTGCATAATTAGAAATTATTGTTATTGGTTTTTAAAAAAGACTGTTTAAACAGTAGAAAAGACTGTGAAAAGTGGTCATTAAACTTTTCCCCACAAAAACAACTAAGTTAAGTGTACCTTCCTAAGATGAAAAAAATAAAATGATAAATTCATGGACAACATACTTTACCCTGATATTTGGCCAGACTGACTCCCACACACCTGATGCCAATAAATGCAAACCACTGACAAAGAAGATCATTGCCGCACACCCTTAAACCCTGCAAAGCTTTTCATCATACTCTTCAATAAACACCCTCTCTCTCACTCCCTGCTTCTCTGCAGAGGCTGCCTGACAGTCCTGACCACAACCATTCAATGTGGAGGCAGAGAGCGGGAGACGGAGAGAGAGAGAGAGAGAGAGAGAGAGAGAGAGAGAGAGGAATATTTTGTGCAGGGTGTCTAGACTATATTCATGATCAATCTGTCTGGCCCTGCTGTAGACAGAGAGATGGCAAACTCGATTAGACTCTAAACATTTCCTCAGATTCTGTCTCGCTCTCAGCATATTTCGTCTTCACTAACGTCTATCAGCATCATTCCTCTCTCCCTCTAGCAGTATATGGCGGCTGTTTGTCTGCTGAGGAAATGAGCATTATTGCTCTAACAGCTCTGACTGAAGACAGCCCTCGGAGCAGAGGGAGCATGACACGGCAAAAACAGATGACCGATTTCAACACAGCCAGGACGAAGAAACGCAGACGGACCTACGTGCTTTTTTTGAGAATTTTTTCTTGTCTGCTCTGGTTTCCTCAAACTTGAAGACAAAAAAAGAGCTTGATCAAAGCTGACTGGCTGCCACCATCTCACGCCAGGGGCTGCACAAAATATTGAATATTCACCATGATATTGCTCAAAAAAAGTCACATTACAAAGTCAATATATGGGTCAATGACATAATAGTAACTATGAGAAAATAAAATGAAAAAACTTTTTTTTAAATCGAGTTTAAAACACTCTTGCAAAGTTTTTAGAAATGTATTCTTTGAATTTATGTTGGTTTCATATGATTTTGAAAGACACTACCATTTTTATTTTAATTTTAAATCAATTTAATATCGATTTAATATCATGTGGTGTAACCATATGATATTACATAGAAAATAAAAATATCATCATAATAGTAAAGGTGCATTAAAGTCGTTGTATGAATAAATTGCATTTTAAATTTATTTTTGAAAAAAAGAGCAAATAACAAAAAATTTGTGTCATGTCATTGACCCACATACATATAGATACATGTCAAATATAATCAGTATCAAGACATTTTAGCTATTTGACCACATCCTATGTTGAACACAACCTACTTACACACACACACACACACACACACACACCCTCTCCCCATTTCAGAGACACCACTTAACACTCTTCTCAGAATCACACCTTGCAGGTGGCTTGGATACAAACTTCTCAGGAATTCAGATGAGAACTGACCAATGAGAAGCAAGAAAACATCCTGCTGACTTCATCAGAACCAGAACACAGACACAGATCTGAGTCTGAAGCAGCAGTGTTAGAGAGATGGACTCACAGCTGAAGACGGCAGATGCAGGATGCTGGGTGGAGATGGGACAGTGCTCCTCATCACTGTTGTCTCCACAGTGGTTGAGTTGATCACAGACCTGCGAGCCCAGGTTCAGACATCTGCCATTAGTGCACAGGAATCTGCACTCTAGGGACAAACACAGAAAACTGCAATGACTCGTTTTCAGATAGGCTAATATAATCAATAACAATCAGGGTCAGTCTCTGTTTTCACACCTGCTGCATCAGGGCTTGACAAATTTCCATCCTTGGTTTGTTCTGGCACTTGTGAAAAGAAACTTATAACTAGAAAAGCTAAGTGGACTATAAATGCAACTCCCAAATAAGATTACAATACTGTTCAAAAGTTTGGGGTCCATGAGATTTAAGAAATGAATACTTTTTAATACTTAAAATCTATTTCAAATAAATGCTGTTCATTATTATTAGTATTATGAAAAAAAATGTACCACAATTTTCAGAAAAATAATAAGCAGTACAACTGTTTTCAACATAAGAAAGTTTCTACAGCACCAAACCGGCATATCAGAATGATTTCTGAAGGATCATAAGACACTGAAGACTGGAGTAATGGCTGCTGAAAATTCAACTTTGCCATCACAGAAATAAATTATATTTTCAAATATATTAAAATAGAAGAGAGATATTTTAAATTATACAAATATTTTTACAATATTAAATTTTTTTGACCGTATTTTTATAAAATAAATGTACTCTTGGATAAGCATAAGAGACTTTCAAAAACATTTAAAAAACAAAACCAAAAAATGTTTACATTGTATTTATACAAGTTGACAAGTTCTGCCACAATTTTGCTCTGTTTATTAAAAAACAAACAAAAAAAAAAACTATGTCAGATCCTGATTTACACCTGAATCCGTTTCCCCCTCCACCTCCTAATTCTCAGACCCCTAAACTGTCAAACCTGGATGATCCTACTATTTTACATTGTTCCATGAAAAGTCTACATTTGAAAGAACTTCACAACAACTTAACAACTAAAAACATCAGGACGTCCTGTGAGGATCTGAAAATGCTCAGGTGCAGGAGTTTGTGGGATAGTTTCACTGAGCTAAAAACTTGGCAGAGATTTGTGGATCTCAGTCGGCGATGATCCTCTATATGTAGGTCACTGGCTTTTATAAATGATCTTAAAATAAGTCTTCCTGCAAGCATGCTTTTAGAGAAACTCAACATTGACCTGATAACGGTGGATATTCAGCTGTATAGAAGACTTCACTATACAGCATTAACAAAAGACCAGAATGCAATGCAAACCAGACAGTGATGGCACTAGCACTATAAACAACTTGACTGTGTGAGGAGGAGGCACTAGACAATACCAAAGCACACCCATGCGATCTCTCACAAGGTGTGGTGCAGCCCAATTTGATTTTAAAAATTATATGATAATCTTTAGACAAACAAATCAGCAGTTCTTTGCCCTGCTTACACCTTAACATAACACGAGACACAACGAGACAATCCGACATTCACCTGCACAAACTCAACAGCACAAAGCAGCAAAAATCAAGAGAATAGGAGAGACAAGACACAAGATGACAATACTAGAAGAGGAGACAAAATAAGAAGAAACAAGAGAGCAAAAGAACAGACGCAGATGAGAAGAAAATGGGGAAAAAGAGGCAATAGACTAGATGAGAAGAGAGGAGGGGAGAAGAAAGGCAAAGGGTAGAAGAGGAGAAGATAAGATTAGAAGTAGATGACAAGAAGATGGGAAAAGACGAGAGGAGACGTGATGAGCAAAAAGGAGACAAGAGGAGATAAGAAGAGACAACAAGAGAAGAAGAGGAGAGAAGAGATTAGTCCAGATGAGATAAGCGATGAAACAAGAACGAGAAGAGAAGGAAGAAAAAGCTGAATGGAGACAAGATGAGAAAAATTGACAAAAAAAAAAAAAAAAGAAAAGGGACAAAATTAAGAAGAGAAGATGAGATGATGCAAGAACAGAGATTAAATGAAAAAATATTTTTAAAGACTAGACAAAAGAGGAGAGAAGAAGAGACAAGACAAAGACTAGAGGAGAGAAGAGACTCAACAATAAGAGAAGAGACAACACAAAACAAGAAGAGACGAGAGATGAAAAATAAACAGAGATGAGGCGTGATGAGACAAGAAGAGACGAGACTAAACAAGGCGACAAGAGACAAAACAAGGAGAGAAGAGATGAGCCGGGATGAAACAAGAACGAGAAGAACAGAAGATGAGAAATGAGAATAGAATATGCAATCAAAAAAAAAACAAAAAAAAACAGACAATCAAGAAGAGAAGAGATAAGATTAAAGGGGTCATATGATGCTTTTTAAAGATTATTATTTTGTGTATTTGGTGCAACAGAATATGTTGACATGCTTTAATGTTCAAAAAACACATTCTTTTTCAAATACTGAACATTATTGTAGGTCCTCTATGCCCCGCCTCTCTCAAACGCTTCGTTTTCTACAAAGTCTCTCCTTCCGACAAGCGCAGTCTGCTCGGATTGGCCAGCTGACCCAGTGCATTGTGATTGGTCGAACACCGCAAGCACTCGTTGGAAATGTAACGTCCCTTACCATAGTCGCGAGCTTCATCTTTCAAAATAAATGTAAAGACAGAGCCCGAAAGGGGAACAGAGTCACGTGACAGACACAGTGATGAAGCTGGTATGTGTACAGTACACAAGCCACGGTTAAGACAGCTGACACCACTGTGATGTGCCCCTGTCTCTCTCTCACACACACACGATGCGCAAAACTCCACATTTGAACAGTCAATAGCAAATACTTAAACTAATAACAAAGCAGTAGCTGATTCAGAAGCGCCAGATTATCATAGCAAAGTCAGAATTACCTCCTCTCCTAGGTTCACGAAACGGTCGTCCATAAAATGCATTGCTGTTTTCGCCTATAAACACACAACGTCTTCCTCACATGGCTGCTTCAACACTAACTGCGATTACTGAAACCACGCCTTCTTTTTTTGCGTGCACATTTGGGTCACAGTATGCAAATATTTCCACATAGTGAGGTAGATATGTGGGGGCGTGTTAGAACGAGCCGTTTTAGGGGGGGCGTGGCAGAGTCTTAACTTTGATAAAGAATATCTCTTTGGTTTTGAGACTTTAGTCTTTGCAACTTCAGGGATCTTATCTATGCACAATCAGCTTGTAACACTCCAAAGAGAAAGGAAAACTTGAAATCGCATCATATGACCCCTTTAAGAAAGAGATGAGATGATGAGAGGAAACGAGAAGAGAAGATGATGAGCGGAAACGAGAAGAGAAGAGAAGAGGCAAGATGTAACAAGAAGAGGAGATAAGATGAAAGGAGAAGAGATGAGACGAGATGAGACAAGAAAAGTAGTTCAGGGTCATTATATTATGTCAGTAAAGTAGCACATTTCTCCAAGTCCTGTTCTGCTCTCTCTCTGCAGTGCACTAGGCTGTCAAACTGTGGTTTAGTACACAGCCCAGCCTCCACTGCCCTCCACCCATCTCGCACTTTCTCTGCATTCCATTCCAGGCAGGGGAGAGAAGTGCAGCCTGTCGGAGAAATGGAGCAGAGGAGTCTGGGAAGGGGAGGGGGAGTGAGAAAGCAGCTTTGAATATTAGCACACACACACACACACACACACACACACAAACCATCGTGAGTTTGTAAAGCACAACATGACCCTCCTCATGAACAATCTTCACCGCTGGCATGAATCATTAAACTCACGTTCATGCCAACCGATTATCCCGTTTAATTCTAACACTGAGGTTATAAACCTGATCCGGTGCTCACCTGTAAAAGCATTGGTGGCCGGTAGGTCAGCCTCCTGCATACTGCTCCTGCCGCTCGGCCCGTATGTTTGTGTGTGCACCCACGTTATTGGCTCCAATTGCCTGAGGGCTCCTGGGGGCCAAACAGCCACCGTGCTGCCATCCTCACCTCATAAGTCCATGGCTCCTGCTCCAGCCGCTGCCCTCTACCTTCACGAAAGGGCAAATAAACTAAGAAGGTGGAGGGGGGGCTAAAAAGTCTTTAGTGACAGACTAGGGCTCTATTCAGTAGAATTCAGGGCGGGGTTGCCAGGGCAACCAGAGCACTGATTACCCTCCCAGCCAGAGCCAGCCAGCCATAGCTGTGTGTGAGCGAGCGAGGAAAGATCCAGACAGGTACTTGATTCAGAGAAGGTGTTTGATAGCTGATTCAGGAAGGGAATGTGTAGTTGCTGCCGCTCGTCCTGGGTGGATAAACTCTTCTCAGCGTAGCAGCGTGCTAATCAATGTGCCCCACCTCATCCTTCAGACCGCAAGCTCACTGAGAGAAACAGAGAGAAAATCAGTTGAGTGGCTGAAATACATGCAAGCAAAAATGTACTTGCAGAACTCACTTACAAAAGGTTACTATAGTTTCCTCTATGATTTACTGCAGCTGCTAGTACTATGTGAAATCTTGTTTAGGAATTGACAATGAATCAATTAATGATTCACTGTGTTGATTTGATTTGCTTGATTCAATTCAAATGGAGAACAATACTTGTTCGATACACAATTTGATTTAATTTGAGTAATAATTCTGGTTCAGTATTATTTCAAAATGAATTTATAGGATTTGTTAAATTCTTCCCCTGAAAATGTTTTCTGCAAATCATCTCATCAACTAAACTAAGATAAAACAGTGCTATTTTGTGTTATATTTGGGACAATAATGGCAATTATTTGAGTACGTTAATTCACCATTAATTTGCACATATGAAGATGATTTATTTAACATACGCTACCATTCAAAAGTTTGGGGTCAGTAAAATATTGTTTTTGAAAGTCTCTTATGCTCACCAAGGCTGCATTTATTTGGTCAAAAATACAAATGTAACAGTAATATGGTGGAACATTATTACAATTTAAAATAACTGTTTTCTATTTTAGTACTTTATCAAATGTCATCTATCGCATTTAAATCTTAAATTTTCAGCAGCCATTTTTACAGTCTTCAGTGTCATATGATCCTTCAGAAATCATTCCAATATGCTGATTTTCTTATTATTATCATTGTTGTGCTGCTTAATATTTTTGTGGAAACGGTGATACATTATCTTCAGTATTCTTTGATGAATAGATTGTTCAAAAGAAAAAAAAATGCTGTTCTTTTGAACTTTCTATTCATCAAAGAATACTGAAAAAATTATTAAACAGCAGTTGAAAATGAAATGGTAATATCTTGTGACATTATAAATGTATTTACAGTCACTTTTATATCAAATCAATGCATCCTTGCTTTAAAAAAAAAGAAAAAAAAAGCAAGTGTACTACTAACCTCCAATATTCGAACAGTAATAAAACAAAACCAATATCAAAGTACCTTAATACTAACTCTGAACAATTGATTTTTTTCTAAGGTAATGAAAACTACTAAGATCATCTAAGTCATCGAAGATCCTGTCTGATCTGGCAGACAAGTTCTGAGACAGACGTAAAAAACAGACAGACCCGACACAATCATAAAACGGGTGTTTCATTAAGCAAAAATTAGAAACAGCAGGGGTTCAACACATCAACATTTTATGATCTTACGGCAGATCTTTACCAGCAACAAAACATCAAGTTCCTGTGAAGAGATGCACATTAGCATCTACAATCCCCAGCAGGAGTGTCAGCCTTTAATGACTGTTACATAACACACTAGAACACTTTACTGGAAACCAAGTTATCACAAGCCACAGCTAATGTTTCTGTGGCTTAATATCATTGAGTTAATGTCTCAAAAAAAACTCCATTTTCATTTGGAGAAGACTAGAGCAATGGACAAGGCAGGACGTGTCCTCAGACAAACTTTAAAGCCCTCCGACATCCCAGTGGACACCGCGCTGAGCCCAGACTGCCGACTACACATCGACTGTGTTACTTAGAAATACGGCAAGCCCTCACCTCGTCTGACCCCTGCCGCATGCCGCACAGCGAGAGCACGGATCCATCACACAATAAATAATATTCCACACACGTGAAACAGGAGAACGCCATCCAAATCAAACAAAGACTGAGACACACACAGTCAACTGAGGTCGTTTTAGGACACGATTACGGCCATCACAGAAACAACAGATGAACATCTGCCAGATGTTTAGATTTACTTTTCTTCATTGTTATCTCTTTGTTCTTCCATGTGTCCCTTTCCTAAGTGCTTCTCCTCTCAGAGAGAGTGAACAAACCATGTATCTATGGCTTTGTTCAGACTAAGGATGTGAAAAACAAATTTTTAACGATTAATCGAGATTAAATCGCAAAGGCGATAAATCACGATTAGGCAGAGGCTGCGATTGTGATGTGTATCTTTCAGTGAAGCACGGTTCTGTGATCTGCAGTAAATCTTCATCCGAAGGCCAGAGGGCGCTCTCGCGCTGAACCTCCAAATACTCCTCACCGAAGAAACCCAGGAAATCCCTATAGCCATTGCTGAATAAACAGATTTAACTGCTTTCATTAATTCAACATGACTAATAAACACACGACTAAGACAATACTATGGTTTATCCGAGTTCGTCTTATTATAATTTTTATTATAATAAAGTATATAATAATGCAATGCTAATCGACATATCCTTTATCACAGCTTAGAATACTATGAAATATGTTGTGTGCCTTATTCTGTGTAAGAAGCCACATCATCTCACAGAAGGATTTATTTCAAACACGACTGACGTTATGAAGTGTGTTTGGAGTAAAAACATGTTATTAAATGTGGTATTTTCATGTGCTTTCAGATGGAGCAACATTTACTACAAAGAGCCGCAGTTCAGTGACAAGCTACGCAAACAGCTTTCATAATCGCAGAACGATTTCTTCGATTTCATAATCGCACGATTAAATCATCTGCGATTATGAATGCGATTTTATGTAGCTTGTTCAGTGGAACTACTGGTCTGTGTAGTAAATGCTGCTCCATCTGAATGCATGTGCTGGAGATTTACTACTAATCACAGAACCGGCTTTACTGACAAGATGCGCTTGACAAATCACATTCGATTAATCATGCAGCCCTATTCTGACATATACTGACCAAAGTTACAATTCTATAAATAGAATTTATACATAAATATATAAATTACTATAAAATTAAATGTACCAGAATTAAATATATTGGCATTGCAAACTTAATGGCAATTATTATTTTCTAAATTCTATAATTCAGTAAAGTCATAATTATTTTCATGTTATGACCGCTAATAAACTGCAGATATTAAAATTCAATACTATTTTGTCTAAATAAAGCACTAAAAACTAAAATCTGCCATTTAAATACTACAAGTGAATTTTTAGATCACAATATTATAATGTACAGCATGAAATTTATATTTATTTTGAGATTTGCTAAAGATTATAATATATTTTATTAAGTTATTAGTGTTTTTAGATAATGGCAAAGGTATATACAATAAATCGACAAACAGCGATAGATAATAAAAAATAAAAAATCATAACCGATAAGACACCAATATATTATCAAATATGTGACCCTGAACTACAAAACCAGTCTCAAGTCGCTGGGGTATATTTGTAGTAATAGCCAAAAATACATTATATGGGTCAAAATTATTGATCTTTCTTTTATGCCAAAAATCATTAGGACATTAAGTAAAGATCATGTTCCATGAAGATATTTTGTAAATTTCCTACTGTAAATATGTCAAAACTTAATTTGATTAGTAATCAAAGATTAGCTAAGAACTTCATTTGGACAACTTTAAAGGCGATTTTATCAATATTTAGATTTTTTTTGCACCCTCAGATTCCAGAGTCAAATATTGACCAATCCTAACAAACCATACAATGGAAAGCTTCTTTATTCAGCTTTCAGATGTATAAATCTTATAAACTTGCAAGAGGTTCATTGGTATTGACATTATGTTAGCCTTGTAAACAGGATTGACTTCAAGAAACACATGTGATTGGTTCCTGGACAAAACAAACAAACGAAAATGTTTTCCCTTACAGACAATTTTATTTTCATTTTATTTTCCAAGTTATTTTCGAAGTCAAAACTCGAAAACTAACTCAAAAAAATATCCCTGGAATTTTGAGTGGTTCCTTTGGTGAAGACATTCTTTACATTTCTGAGATTCCATTTCAGAGGAATGTTGGTCTATCAATGTTTTGTGGTTCTTTCTTTTGTGACATACTGTAGACATTTTTATTTGATGTTGGGGGGGGGGGGGGGGGGGGGAGTTTCGGGTGGGAAGCGTGCAATCTGTGATCGCGTGCAGTTTCTGACAGGGGTGGAATAGATGTTTTGAGTATAAAAATGTTTTTGGCCAACAAAATGACAGAACAACATTGTCAGTTTTGGTCCAGATGTCTTACCCCTATAATCAGAACTACAAAGTAAAATTCCCTCAACATTTAAAAGTACCAATATTCTCTGTATCTGTCGGTCTGGGTAATGTGATCTCAGCAGGGGGTCGGTCTCTTTCTTACTCTCGGTGCCTGGTTAAATCATGATGAAGCTCTTAGGAACAACTATTCGCTGAACTGATTCATCCAGCCAGACTCAAACATCATAACTGCCCATGCCATTAATCATTAGTAAAAAAAATGACTAATAGCTGCTACCTTGCCTGTCAGTCTGTCGGACTTGCCTGTCTGACTAAGACTCCGGTGTGAAACAGTGGAGTTTTATATCAGCCTAAATTTGTTTACTTGGCAATAATAACCATTTGACTGTATATTATCCAACTCATTACATAGCTTTTTACTAGGGGTGCTCCGATCGGGATTTTTGAGGCCGATCACCGATCGCCGATCACAGAAAGCAGTATCTGCCGATACCGATCTTTTTAAAGCCTTCTTTTTTTATCATTTATAACTATTTATAGTGATACTCCAATCAGGATTTTTAGACATTTATTCAGGGCCTGAATTTCATTTTTGAAAATGGGGGGAATTCCCCTCTTAGGTGACTCTTGTGAGAGGGGAAGCAGCTTTCACACAGGAGTCCGCTACTGATCCATGGCTGTTTACCACAAACACAACATTTATTCATTATTTTGATTTCAAATCCAAACATTGTCACTGAAAATGCTTTTTCAGCATTGCAATTATTTTTTACACAGTACAGTAATACAATGTTTCACAGAAATGTTTAAACAATAAATATAAGCAACACATTATTCAATACTTTTTACTTTTGCATTTACTTCTAGATTTATATATTAAGTTGCTCAAGCAAGTGGCAAAACATTTAACTACTTTTCTTACGTTATCACAAGCTTACCATTGACAGAAATAGTCAGCTCTACTGCCTTTCCTTTTGCATTGAAATCTTTA